AGAGAGAGAGAGAGAGAGAGAGAGAGAGAGAGAGAGAGAGAGAGAGAGAGAGAGAGAGAGAGACGAGAGAGAGAGAGAGAGAGAGAGAGAGAGAGAGAGAGAGAGAGAGAGAGAGAGAGAGAGAGAGAGAGAGAGAGAGAGAGAGAGAGAGAGAGAGAGAGAGAGAGAGAGAGAGAGAGAGAGAGGAGAGAGAGAGAGAGAGAGAGAGAGAGAGAGAAGCAAGTGCAGGAGGAGGAGGAGGAGGAGAAGCAAGTGCAGGAGGAGGAGGAAGCATGCTGTAGCTCACTGCTGAGTCTGTGCTCCTCTAGCTTCCCGAATCTCGCTCCACGTGCAATGATGTCGTTTCGCGTTCCAGCACTGAAGGAGAGGGAGGAGGGGCGGACCACGTGATGTCACCAGGATGAGGGTCGACGTGAGGAAGAACGTGCGAAGTCAGAGACAGGAAAAGCAGAGGCAAGCGGAGAAGCAGAAGGAGGAAGACGAAGCGGAGGAGCAGGAGCAGCAGGAGGACTAGGCAGGAGAAGGAGCAGGGGAGGAGTAGCAGCAACAGGACTAGGGAGGAAGAGGACGGAGGGAGGGGGAGGAGTAGCAGCAAGAGGACTAGGGAGGAGGAGGACGGAGGGAGGGAGGGGGAGGAGCAGCACCTGTATCTCAGAGCCTCTTTGGCTTTGATGAGCTCGGGGGTGAGCTGCAGTGCTCTCATCAGCCATAATCTGCTGCTGCTGCTGCTGCTGCTGCTGCTGCTGCTGCTGCTGCTGCTGCTGCTCCTCCTCCTCCTCCTCCTCCTCCTCCTCCTCCTGCTGGGCCTGCTGCTGCTCTTCTCACGTATCGCAGTTGTTTGGTCTGTAGTTTCTAGTGCTCCTGGAGATCCCTTACACACTAGCGTGAAGCACCACAGCGGTGAGAGGAGGAGGAGGAGGAGGAGGATGGGGAGGGGGACGCGTGGAGAGAGAGGAAGCGGAGGAGATATGGTGGGACTGGAGGAAGGGACGTTGCTGTTGACAAGTTCGCTTCAGGGCAACTGGCTCCTTCCGCCAAGTCAGCGACGAACAGCACAGGTTGCGTTTGTTTTCTTGCGGTCAGAAAGACTGATGGAGGGGTCCAGGCTCGAGCCCCTTCGACTGGATCATGGGGGTCGTCAAGAGCCGACCCAATGACTCTTGACCTGCTCGACGAGCGGGAAAGACTGAGGGGAGGAAGGGAGGGAGGCGGAGCAGTAGAAGCACGAAGCTGGAATGAAGCGCAATGGGAAGGAGGAGGAGGAGGGAGGGAGGGAGGGAGGAGAGGGAGGGAGGAGAGGGAGGGAGGGAGGGAGGAGAGGTCGGGAAGGAGGAGGGGGCAGGAGGGAGACGCTGGTCTTTAACTGGACGTAAACGGGATGCGACTTAGAACAAGCCTGCTTTCTTCTTCAGCTCGTCCTGCTTCCACTTCTTCATGTTGATGTACTCCACCCTCGTGCACCCCATCACCTTTCCTCGCAGGTCAGCTTACGATGATGGCGGTGGTGATGATTGATTGATTGATTGATGGATGGATGGATGGATTGATTGATTGATGGATGGATGGATGGATGATATATGTGGCGATGACAATGGTGGTGGTGGTGGTGGTGATGATGGAATGGAGATGACGATTATGAATGAGACGATGATGATGGAATGGAGATGACGATTATGAATGAGACGATGATGATGCAATGGAGATGACGATTATGAATGAGACGATGATGATGCAATGGAGATGACGATTATGAATGAGACGATGATGATGGAATGGAGATGACGATTATGAATGAGACGATGATGATGGAATGGAGATGATGCAAGCAGGATGATTGGATGTACAAAACTCTCACCGTCTTGAACTCATCGTCCGAGAGGTACAGAGGCTTGCATGTAGGATCGACCGCTGACTCCACCTGGCTCACTTGTGAGCTCCCCCTGATCCAGCTCCTTCTCCCCCTCCTGCTCCTGCTCCCCCTCCTGCTCCTGCTCCCCCTCCTGCTCCCCCTCCTGCTCCCCCTCCTGCTCCTGCTAATGCTCGTGCCCGCCCTCCCCCTCCTG